CACATCAGCCATTGGCTTAAAGATGAGAGTGCAGCATGTCAAGGGAAATGAAAGTCATGTTTAGGGAAGTATGAGAACCATGAAGAGAAGGGTGAAGCAGCTGTAGAGAAAAAGAACAAGCTCATCACTCTGGCATAGTGACATTTGCTGACCCAACCTATTTTCTCCAGGAGGAAGGGCGGGCAGAGTTCACTATCCAAATCTGGCAACCTATTTATGTACCAGCTGAGTAGATTCTGGTTTGTGTGTACCGAACCTTGCGCTGCAAGAAGTCTGCCTGACATCCTGCCTACCCTCAGCCGGGAGGTCTCGGTGAACAAAGGAGGAACAAAGCTTTCTCTTTCAGGGAGGTTTCATGTTCTTGTTAGTCAAGAGCAGGCACCTCAAGGGCTCCCCACATTTTTTCATAGTAAGAACCACATTTCAGTACAGAGACAGTTGTCGCGAGAATCACAGGTCCGATGATGAATACCCAAGGGGGGAAGGACAGAACCAGGTGGACAGTTTTATCAAATAAAAATTATTTATTTATGACAGTGGTGAATTTATAGTATTTATTCTAAGATTTTTAATAGACCGTGTTAATAATGAATTTACAGTATTTATTATATTTATTCTATGGTTTCTAGTAAAACGTGTCAGAGATATAGGGATGGGAATGGCAAGGGGAATAGTCTCTAATCTTAAAATATCCAGCTACAGTAATAAAATAACGGTGATAACTACAAACTCTTATGTACTACCCACAAACAACTACAACACTAAGCTTGTACAACAAGAAAAAATCAAATCCTACATACCAACTTACACAGCACACGGAACATTTCACAGATATCGGTTTGGTTGAGAAGGCCTTGGTTACGCCCGAGAGTCGGGGGAGATGGCTGGTCGGTTGATCAGGCCGGCAGCGCTTTGAAGTATACGAGAAGGCACACGCATGGTGGTGTGTGTGTTGCGAAGACCTCCTAGAGCGAACTGTGCCCTGGGTATTTATCCCAAAATCTGCACATCGCTTTCCTGCGCTTGCATATTACCATATATGGCCCATTGGTCACCAAGTGGGGGGGTCGGTGTCCCAGGGGTTGGGCCGAAACTGTGCAGGTTTCATGCGACCAGGTAAGCCCCGCAGTTCTCACGCCAAGGTGACAGGTGGGAGAGTCAGGCTATTTTCCCCTTTTCACACCTTCCCCTTTTCTAAAGGCAATGGTATGCAGGAAGGGTGCGGCCGATTTCTCTCAAGGAGTCAAGAGCAGCCTGGCCAAACTTTTTTACTGGGGGGCAGTTTCTTTTCTCTAACATTCTGGTTTGTGTGTACCGAACCTTGCGCTGCAAGAAGTCTGCCTGACATCCTGCCTACCCTCAGCTGGGAGGTCTTGGTGAACAAAGGAGGAACAAAGCTGTCTCTTTCAGGGAGGTTTCATGTTCTTCTTAGTCTAGAGCATGCACTTCAAGAAGGGCTCCCCACATTTTTTCATAGTAAGAACCACATTTCAGTACAGAGACAGTCTCTGGCCCCCTGGCTTTCCCATGACAATCGTGCAACCCATCACACTGCTGTACATGACATGACACAGCCCTGGAACAACCAGAGCACTGGCACAGGCGGAGAAGCAGCATTAGGAAACGACTGGGTTTTCTCTTAATGCAAATTAACTGGTGGACACGGTAAGGAGACCTACCACTATGCAACTAGCCAGCTCTCTGGAGCTGGACGGCAGGTTGTCCACGGACAACAATTTGGGAAACTTCTCTCAAGACTGAGTTTGTATTTTGCTTATTTTGTAAAAATGCCGCTGTTACAGACAAGGGTGGGGCTTTCGAAAAGCACAAGCAATGCAGGTAAAGTAAAGCAGCAGTGAGGAGGTGTAGGATAAAAGAGGAAGACGACATCCCAAAACAGATCAAATTAGAAACAGTGTAGTCTTCCAGAGCCACGATAAAGAGGAGTCATCCGAAATCGGCGTTAAGTTCGAGCAGAGCTTTCATTAAAGATAGTGAGCAAACAAATACCTTGGTGGGAATGGTATTTGCAGGGCTCGCCAGATGTTTTCCAGACAAACCATGTAAGGTGGAGGGCAGGATCTGAAAGAGCTGGTTGAAAAAGCATCATGAAGCTAAACCAACATTTTTGAACTGAAAGAAAATGGAAGAAGAAAATAGAAGGAGAAAATCTCTCTGATTCCGGCCAATGGGAGCAGCGGGGAATGTGCGTTGCTGTTCCCCCAGCTGGGGGAGGGGAAATGGCCACATGCAGAGCTGCTTCTGGCTCTACTGCTTCCCCGCGAGGCGGATCCGGCAGGGAGGCTCGGGGCTTTCTCCCCTCTCCCCCAGGCAGGAAGCTGGCGCTGATACTCCAACCTTGCAGGGGGAGACTGAGCTTCAGCCGATGCCGCAGACCACTAGTGGTCTGAGAACCACTGCCCTACGGGTAGACTATGACAGACATGTCCATTGCTGACCACACAAGGTGTTTTTCTTCTAGTTTGTGCCAGCTCTGTGTATTCCACTGAGCTGCTCAATAAGGAATCGCGCAGGGGGGTGGCTTAGTTGTAAGCTCCCTGGTCAGGATGGAGAAGCCTTTAGAAACCCATCCTGTGAACTCGTCTTCATCCGAGCAGCCTGACTGGAGTTACAAGGACTCGTCCCGTGAGTGAGGGTTTGCAGGACTGGGCCCTAAGAAAGAGACTCCCTTGTTGTGCCTTCAGCTAGCTACGCTGGAGCAGAGCACACGGGCTAGGAGGTGGCTGAGCCCTCTGAGCCAACACTCAGCCTTGGCCAGAGCCTGCTCCATATGGACACCATAAAGTGCCTGTTGGGATGTATCCCAATCGGTCTCTTCCAGTCTCTCCTTGGGTCCCTATCAACGGAACCTCTTCTCCGGGAACTATGCTCAGCCTAGGTCCATCTCTCTGTGATCAGAGCTGCCTTCTTCCACTAACTCCATCCCTACCTGCTGCTGACTCCAGTCCTCCATCTTCTCAAACCGACTGCCGGGCAGAGAGCTTCAGAACAGGATACCTTTTCCTCCACACCAGTCCCGCCTTACTCCAAAAGACCAGTGCATTGGCTCTGCTACATGCTCAGCCTTCATTGGTCCAAGATCAGGTGTTCTCTGGAACCCAGGTCTCTCCTGTAGCAAGGTGCTGTGACAACTACCCCTCTGCTGTTCTTACATTACCTGGCTCTGCTCCCTCGGGAGAGGATCTCAGTAAAGGTATTGGCATGGATCGAGTTTTCAGGGATGTTTGTTTTCTTGTTAATAGCCATAAGAGTCTTATCACAGCAGTAAGAGCGCTGGCTACTCCCCACATTCCTTTCTTTCCACTTAATGCTAGGAGACACCAATAGATTTAGCAGGACAGAAAGGGTGTGTCTAGACTACAAGGCTCCATCGACTAGCAGATACTGTCGACAAAGCTTCTGTCGACAAAGAGCATCTAGACTACATCCAGTTCTGTCGACAAAGCAAGCCGCTTTGTCGACATGAGAGTGTAGACACAAAGGACAATGTGGCTGCAATAACGCCTCCTGTCAACAGAACTCTGTCGACAAAAGGCGTTATTCCTCGTAGAATGAGGTTTACCGCCATCAACAAAACTGCTGAGTTCTGTTGACGTTATGTCGACAGAACTCAGCAGCAGTGTAGACGCAGGTATAGTTTTGTCGACAAAAGTCCACTTTTGTCGACAAAACCCTGTAGTCTAGACGCACCCAAAGGGAGGGAGGCACAGAGCGACTCATATAAATATTAATCTGCCTGGATTACAAGAGGAAGCTTCACTTCCCAAGGACTGGAGATAGCGTCTGAATGGACGTGGCCTCTCTGGAATGTGATCGCAGTATTTATCCCCAGGGCGAGACAGAACAATGAAACATTGTGGAACTCAGCGTGTCTTAATTTCCAGGAGTTTTACAAATGTTCTTAGCTGTGCTGTTGCAGCTGAATTGGTCCCAGAACATGAGCCATGCAGTGGGTGAGGGAATACCTCTGGTTGACCTCTGTCAGCAAAAGAGCCTCTTCCTGAAGAAGAGCTGTGCAGCTCGAGAGATTGGCTCTATCACAAACAGACGTTAGTCCAGTAGAAGGCCACCCACCTTGACACTCTCGATTTTAAAAAGCGGCAGTCTCATCTGGAGGACATCAGACAGGGCTGCGACTTCTGCGCAGCAGGGGCAGGATCTTGACTGTGAAACAAAGTGTAACACACGGAAAGCCAAAGAAAAAGCACCACATGGCCTGGGTGAGCCTAGCAAAGTTGCTATTTCGAGCAGCGTTTTATTAGTTTTACTTAGACATGCAGCTCCACAATGAAGAAAGCAAACTGAAGGCCCCTAAGTCCCCTTTCACTCTGCCTCCCTGCCTGCCCTCCACCTGGGGCTGGACACCGCCGTGAGCTGCCCCAGAGGTGTCTGAGCTGCCCTGCTGTATTGTACCTCCATGAACACCATTCTGGGAGGGGGGCGGGATTTTCAAAAGTGCCTGAGGAGCCTAAGGGCCATTGTCAAAAGGGAATGTGAATGGGACCCAGGCACCTAAGAACCTAAATCTTTTTGAAAATGGGGCTCAGGCTCCTACGTCACTTAGCACTAGGCTGGATCCTGGGCCCTGAAACGGTGCATGGGGAGAGGGTCCCCGATCAGGCTCCAAGCCAAGTGCAACAGGCTGTGGTGAGCCCTGCAGCCTGACCCCTGCTGACTTGGGCTCTGAGACTTGGATCTTTTCGTGCAGCGTAAACTGACCCCGAGCGATTTAGTAGCACAAATGGAACTTGTGCGCCTAGTCACTCCGGGCCAGGAACTGACACCCCTACCTCCCAGGCATCCAAATACCTTCAGAAACCTGGCCAACAACACAGCATGCCCCTCCCTCTTTTTCCCACCCCCACGGAGGCTCCTCCGCAAGACTGTCCCATAGGATTGCAGGATGGGACCTGCACACAGAAACCGGCTCAGCAGTACATTCCTACGGCAATCCTAATTATCTGGAAAGTGCAGCCTTGTTTGCATTACAAAGAAATTTTTATTTTGTTCTCCAAATGATCAGCAATGCAGAGCAGGCATTGGGAAGGAGTCCAGGTGTTCTCATACCGGGTGGTCCATAACTCTGTCTCGCCGCACCCTGTACAGCCATTCGAGAACCTGGAAACACCTCTGCTGGCAGGCAATGTGAGCTTGCATGCAACAGGAATTGAGGGGCCAGCAAAAAGCAGCAATCTTAAGGAGAGGGGGAAGAGACCCAGAATTACTGGTATAAAGTAGTGGCACAGAACATACATTTACTCCAGTGACGTGATCACTTCCACGTGAACACATGCGCCTGCCCGTCTGCTGGGCTAAACAGGCCTGAATTTCATTTCGGACCGTTTGTAGGAGTAGTTGTACCCTTTGCCCGTGTGCCAGTTGACGCCGTCTGCAAAGCTGCTGTGCGCCCCCAGCCAGTACATCCCATTCAGGTTGGACGTGTGGCAGCTCGAATACCACCAGGCTCCCTTGTAGGTTGTGGCACATTTGTTTGAACCAGGGTCTTGCTGCCGGTCTTTAGTGGAGAACAGCATGTTATTGTGGCCCGTTAACGAGTCCCCTGTGGGGAGGAAATGAAATCCCTCTTTAGGGCAGGTCTCGGGACGTTAGCTCCATGTCTCTCACTCCTGGAGTTGTGCTCTCTAGTCCCCCCTTCGCTGGGGCACTCGGGAGCCCTTGAACTGTACAACAGAGTCTGAAGCTCAATATAACCACTTCCATCCCGGGTCCTGATCCGACAGGTGCTGGGTAACATGGGACCTCTGGCTCTCCTGAGGTGCCAGGATTCCAAGAACAGCTGCGCCCAAGTCCTGGGCTTAGCATTTCTGGATTCCTATCCAGGTTTGTCACAAATCTCCAGGGTAACCTTGGACAAGTCGCTAGAACGTCTGCAGGAGTTGGATCCCTTAAGCCTCTGTGAAAATGGCTCTAAACGTCAGCTCCTTAACTGTACACTGAAAATAAACATTCTTCCTTACTCAGATCCCTGTCTTGTCTATTTAGACTGCTGCTTCCTTTACTGTGTGCAGCTCCGACTACCTGATAGCACAATAGAACCCACTCTCATGTCGGGCCTCCAAGGGTTACCGGACTATCAAACGAGAACAGTACAAGCACGTCAAGGTCGTGCCCGCTGATTGCTGCAAACCCAGCAGGACTATGGCCATATTATTTTGAGGAAGGATGGGATGAGTGGAGAATCCATTTAGAACCTGAGGATTATACCCAGGAGCCCTGAAAAATAGACTCACATCAAACCATAGGGTGAGGACCAATATAAACAGCAAAAAGGCTGGTAGGGGCATGCCAAATAAGACTGTGTGGTTTCCCCAGAAATGCCACTATATCCCTGTTGCATTTCAATAAGAAACAAAATGTCAGCAACCTGGAACGTCGCATTCAATGAACGTTTCCTTTTCCAGACAGCTTTACTCCCAGAGACACTCCTGTGTAAGATTGCTCTTTCTTTCTGCCCCGGTCTCAGCGTTAGCTGGGTGTCCAGCGATTCAAGAGCATGAGAAATGCAGCAAAAGAAGCCCTCTCTAACCTCAAAGGCTCCATTCAGGATCCGTTTGAGTTTATGGCAAAGATTCAGATTTGCTCTGATTTTCTCTGAATAACTTGATCCCTCTGTAATGAAGCTCACCTGCATTTTACCTGGACCACAGTCTGAGCTCCTGACTCTGCCCTGCTGCCTCAGGTAAAATACCAAGTGACGTTAATGGGAGTTTGTCTGGATAAGGCCTGAGTAGGGATGGGCAATAACGTGCAGATTTGGCCGCAGGAAATGGCAGCGTTGTTGCAGATGAGACGTGTAATTTACTTCTGCGGTGGGACTCTGGCCCACCCAATGGCATGGGAGCATTTCTCTGTGCTATGAAATGTGGAGACCAGGCGCAGCCCTTACCTGAAGTACCCAGAAGGAAACTGCCAAGAATCAGCTTGTAATTTTCAGTCTCTCCTAAAATTTTGAATGACGAGTACTTGGCAAACCCGTGGTTGTTCTCAAAATCGGTGAGGTCAACGCGAAGTTCATTAACTCCTAATGCAAATAAATTGGAAAGAAAGAAAATAGCTCATTGGAGTCCATCCACAATTTGCCTCTGCTGGAGGGGTTTTTGTACGGCAGAACCAGCACAGCTTTTCAGTTCTTTCCGTTAATTGGCAGTGCCCTCCGCCTTAAGCTCTGACTTCAAAACTTCCTTCTTTCCTCTGGAATGATTGCCTAACCCAGCTTGGACTGGTAAGCTGTACCTCTTGCCTTTGCTACATCTACTTCTTAAAACCATCAGTGCACGAAAAACTAGGAGCAACAATAAAGAAATCCTCGGAACATTCCCTGGGTAAGCATGACTGAATACTAGATGCTGAGCAAGAGTTCCAGTAGCTCATAGTTGCAGATCAATAATGACGTTTTAAGGTGTGTTGCTAATGTGTTGAAAAACAGATTGATCAGCTCACTGGGGGAGGGACAGAGGAAGGGGAGAGGCAGCTGGAAAGAAAGATCTGAGGTGCAGTGTTTCCACTAATTTTTTCCATCCTCGTGTAGAATACATGTTGTTATGTGCACTATCACATGTGCTGTTGTGCACCACCAGTACAAACAAATAGCCTAGATTTAATATATATATTTTTAAAAGATTGTTACCATAAGGATAGTTACTCCAACCAGCACAGGCATGTGCTATTATGCACCACCAATATAAACAAAACACCAATATTTCACACATTTAAAAAAAATACCATATGGATGATTACTGCTGTCAGGACAGGTTAAGAATTTTAGAACTCACTACTCAACTAATTAAATTTAAATGCAAGAGAAATGACCCTTCTTCCGAAATAACTGTTAAACCTCATTTTATGAGGAATAAGGGTTATTTCGGAAGAAGGGTGTTCTCCCAAAATAACCGCATCTACACCGCGTTTTGTATTTTGAAATAGCGCTATAACACAATTATGCAAATGAAGCGCAGGGTATTTAAATCCCGGCTTCATTTGCAATTTCAAATGTCTTCATTTGCATCCCTCTCTCAAAAGAGGGTGCAAATGTAGATATACTGGCTGTGTCTAGACTGGCAAGTTTTTCCGCAAAATCATCTGCTTTTGCGGAAAAACTTGCCAGCTGTCTACACTGGCCGCTTGAATTTCCGCAAAAGCACTGACGATCTCATGTAAGATTGTCAGTGTTTTTGCGGAAATACTATGCTGCTCCTGTTCGGGCAAAAGTCTTTTTCCGAAAAACTTTTGCGCAAAAGGGCCAGTGCAGACAGCTCAGATTTGTTTTACGCAAAAATGCCCCGATGGCGAAAATGGCGATAGGGGCTTTTTTGCGCAAAAGCGTGTCTGGATTGGCCATGGATGCTTTTCCGCAAAAAGTGCTTTTGCGGAAAAGCGTCCGTGCCAATCTAGACGCTCTTTTCCGCAAATGCTTTTAACGGAAAACTTTTCCGTTAAAAGCATTTGCGGAGAATCATGCCAGTCTAGACGCAGCCCCTATGTGTGCTGGCTGCAGCTGGGGTAAGTTTCTGAAAAATCCTCTATGTGCTGTCTCTCTCTGTTCCTTAACTCTGATGTCTTCCCCCCAACTGTGGGGATGGTGTTTATGGGCAGAGGGAGAGGGGGTTGGAGAAACTCTGTGTGCTAGGGAAATCTCAGAAACAGCACACTGCCTCTAAGAAACGCAGGCCGTCACTTACCATTCAGACTGCACCAGCTCAGACTTCTTCCCTAAACCAAGCTATGTATGTCCCCCCCATGAGGTACAATGGCAGGGGGACACCTGACATCAGCACTTCAGCCCCCATCTCCTTCACAGCTACCAGGAGGTCCCTCCTGGGCAAGGCAGGGGAAAGGCACCAGAACACAGGCTGCTAGTGAGTTGCGCAGCAAGTGACCCTCATGCACAGCCATGCATGTGTAACTGCTACAAGGCAGATTTGAACCTGGGACCTCTGCAGCTTAGTATAGGAGCCACTGCTCTCTGAGCTCAAAGCCAGCTGGCTCCCAGCCCCGGCTGTAGAGGTCTCTTGATCTTCGCCGTTGCTGTGGTCTAGGTGGCACTGCATTGACCAGTGAACCACACTAAGGCTACGTCTACACTGCAGGCTTCTTGCACAAGAACTGTTTTGTGCAAGAGTTCTTGTGCAAAAGGTCTTGTGCAAGAGTGCATCCACACTGCCACGTGCTTTTGCGCAAGAGCATCCCTAGCAGTGTGGACGCGCTCTTGCACAAGAAAGCTGTGATGACTATTTTAGCTATAGGGGTTTCTTGCACAAGAAACCCCTGTTGCCTGTCCACACTGCCTTCTTATGCAAGAGCTCTTGCGCAAAAGGACTTATTCCTTGTGGGGAGAGGAATAACTCTTGCACAAGAAGCCCTCTGTCCTGACGCTTTACTGTAAATTTTCTTGTGCAAGAACATGTGTGCAGTGTAGACACTCTGCAAGTTTTTGTGCAAACATGGCTATTCTTGCGCAAGAAGCCTGCAGTGTAGATGTAGCCCATGGCGTGTGGGATACACATGCACACCCCTTCCAGGGAACACAGCTCAGGAGGCACAGATTTTGCAAAACAAAATCTTTTCTACATTTCCTGCATTCTTCTTGGAGTGCTTGTTTTCCAAAGTTAGAGAACCCAGCAGTCTCTGGGCACATGCCCTTCCTTAATTTGGGACCAGCCATCCACACCCAAACAAGAGGGGCATAAACAGAACAGTTTTTCTGTTCCCCATGTTCTGGAATTTGGCCAGCCAGTCCCCTCTGTGTCTCATAAGTGGGAGAAGAGATTAATTTCTGGTAAGGAATATTTGCTATTTGATTTGCCAGCCTTTGACATTTGCCAGCCTTTGCCTGGACTCACCAGAACTACACTGGTTCACTGGCCCAAATGAGATTTCACAAAAGGACCCTTTTTGGAACATGCATGTCCACTCTTACCAGCAATAAACATCTTGCCACCTTGCACAGAATTAATAGTGCACCTTAACAATTATGGGATGGCAGCCACTGTGACACTATGCCCCGTATTCACCACAGGAATATTATTATATGATTATGGCGTAATTACGATGCATTCTGTATAAAATTGGCCATGAGAGGGGTCTTTGGAAGTGTTATAATTTTCTGAGAAGGATTTATCGTATCTGTATGCATGTATCATTATGTGTGTATCATTTTTGTATCTAAAGTTATGAATATTAACGATGTACCTGTATTTCAATGTAATTACACCAGGGTGACACCCACTAGGCAAAATGCTTCCGGCTCGGACAGTTGTGAAGGGCCAGTTCAGGGTTATGGGCCTTTAGGAAATACAACAAATCTGAAGAGAAGACTATCCTACCCCCAATAAACCGTCCTGAGAACCCTCCAGACGGCCTGTGTGTACGTAATGGCTGCTATGACTCTGCAAGGGCATGTGACCAAACCACATGACTCTGAACACCATTTTGGGTACTTGTATTTTTCAACAAACTGGGCTGGGGACTGTTTTTGGAACAAAGGGTTTCCGACCGCTGCTAGGGTTGCTCGGTGTCCGGGTTTGAACCAGACAGTCCAGTATTTGAGCTTTCTGTTTGGGACACAAATTGAGAAAATACAAATGAGAAAAGAGAAATGTCCGGTATTTTCTAAATAAGATGTAGTGTAGACTGTGGTCACGTCAAGTGTGTCCGGTATTTTTGTTGAAACCATCTGGCAACCCTACCCTCCGCTAAAGCTAGGTAAGGCCGGTAGTGACATCATTGTTCGCTCTTGACTGCCCCACAGCTGAACACGAGAGGCTCCTAAAGAAAAAGACTTGAAATGCGGGCGCAGACCCCCCGCAGCAAGGCAAGTGCAGCTTGCGCCTTGAGAACCCCTTAGCCTGCTTGTGCTGCATCATCAGTAAGGGGGAGAGGTTGTGATTTCAACGCCTTTCCTTCTAGTCTGTGACGTTCAGCTCGCGTTTTTGTTAATTTACTAGCTAATCTGCTTTGCTCTGTCTCCCATCTCTGTAAGCACCTACAATCTATCTTTTTGTAGTTGTTAAACGTATTAAGTGAAGCATCTGGGGAAAAATAAGTCTGCATATTCCTCTCTGCCGGATGAGTAGCACGTCCGTGGCAAAGCCCTGACCATGCTCCGTGGGCCCTGCGCTCCTGGCGGACTGTGTTTGCCTCAGAGGCTCGCTGGGACCCTCCACTCGGCCTCTTTCTCTTTACCAGAGGCAGGGCTCACAGCCTGAGTCATACTCCTCACAGGCTAGTTCACAGTTTGGGGTAAAACCCCCTCCCTAGTCCTGGTCTTCCCTCTCAGGGGACACTCTGTAGTGGTGTGGGGAGGTTTGGGGGAACGCCTACTGCTCCAGGTTCCAGCCCAGCAACAGACAAGGTTACTTTTACTCCCAGTCTGGCAGCTATTTCCCTGGGCCGCTTCCCCAAAGGATCCCTCCCAGGCCCTTTCCTCTGGTACCTCAGCAAGTCAAGTCCGGCTCCTCCTCTACTTCCCACAGTTCCTCAGCTCTCTCTCTCTCTCACACACACACTAGCCCCAGCAGGCCTGAATGGGCCACAGGTGCTCTGATTAGCCTGCTGCTTCCAGAAAGCTCTTAATTGGCCCCAGGTGCCTGCCTGATTATACAGCATAAGGCCCAGCCCTGATTACTCCGAGAAGAGGAAATTGTTTACCCTCCACTGGATTGTGGCAACCTCCCCAAAAAGCCACTTGCACACGCTCGAGCTCCACACTCTTCACTTCCACATCCTCGTGTCCCGCCCAGATACCAAATGGTAGGACTCTTGCCACCAATAGTGGCTGGGGAGCCCCAGTGTGCCAGTTTCTACTTCACCTTGGTTCCACGGCCCACCGGGGATATTAGCTGGAGAATCCTCCATGGTTCTGTGAGCGCAGCCGTGTACTTCTGCGGTTCACTCCTGTTCCTGACACTTGCCCCTTCTGTGGCGTGAGGGACACTCTGGTGCACGTTTATCTCGAATGCACCAGGCGGCAGCCCCTTTTTCAGCTCCTCCGGAATCTCGTCTGAAGGTTCTGGCTGCATTTCTCCCCTCTCCTGTTGATTATCGCACACCCCGTCTATGGCCCGACAAAGTCGTGGGACCTTCTTGTTAACCCCCTCCTGGCTATGGCCAAAGTGGCCATTTACAAGACCAGGAAGAAGAGGTTGGCTGAGGGAAGGGCTTGCGACTGTGGGGCCTATTTCCCTGCCCAAGAGTCTAGTAAAAGCTACTGTGACAGGGTCAGGCCAGGGA